TACCTCAACCTTCTGAAAAGGGGAAGGGAAAGAGCAAGTCCAAGGGAAAGTCCAAGAAGGGAGAAGATGATCGGTGGGATGCTCAGGGCAGCTGGGATCATCGTGGATGGAGAGGTTATCACCAGTGGTGATTTCTATGAACGACTATGAGGATACCATGCAAACCAGGGAGGAGATCATTCACCGGATGTTTATCTGACCTGAAACGCTATAAGTGTATCGTTGCAAATTCGGATTGACGATTTGATACCATGAGCATAATGGAAGGAAGACAATCACCGACTGTCTCTCCGACTTGCCGTTCTGTAAGTGTATCCAAACCAAAACCTACATCTTTTGAGGAGTGTGAAGTCAGTTGCCAATGTGACATCTACGTGGAAGTCACCAGTTCGGATCTACATCAAAGCGATGCTCTTTTGAGTGGATACTGAGCGAGGCCTCGTGACTGTCTCACTTGTTCAATTCGATTTTTTTTTCAAAGGTTCTGAGCCATAGTTGCACACTTTATATGTAAAAGTCCGCTTTAGTCCAGCATGTTTCGTAGTATGAGCCTCATATGAGTCTCGCGGCAAATCATACAATTTCTTTATAGCACTTACATCCCTAAATTTTCGTGTGTGATCGGAACATATTGTTGCCGTTCACATGGGGGGTGCGAATGGAAGTGCAGCGACACGTACAGTGCAACTTGTACATATATATGTACCATATGTACTTTGGCTCAAGGATCAAGCGACTAGAAAAGGTGCGGTTTCCGTTCCGACGCTACGCCGCTTATGGACCGTCAGTGATAGCTTCAAACTTCGCTGATTAAGATCCACTCGCAAATTATATATTCCAAAATAGGAGCTTAGGAGGTCCAACTTGGAACAGCTTTCTGGGGGGAGCGCGTGCCTCACAATATGTGTTCAAAGTATCTCAAAGGCTCCTTGCTCAGATGCCAATTATAATTGGTGCCCCGTGCGAAAGTTTGCCAAAAGTAGTAGTCTTCGGAATTTGGGCTATGAGTATATTATTTAATATCCAAACGTACTTGGGCTCAGCAATCATATACTGTAGATTAGAGATGTGTGTTTGCTGTAAAGGTTTGTCCCTTCAAGGCGAGTTACTTGAAGCAGCTTCTGCGGCATTCAGCAAGCTGCCCAAAATTTTTGCACCGCAGAGAGACAAGGACGACAAAGGCAATCATTCAGCTTGACAGCCTTGCTGGGCTTGCTGAACCAAAACTCTTTCACCCAGAGCGTAGGATGCCACCCGCCAACAGCGACTAGGCATCTGGTAGCCCTGGTGAAGATGCAGAGAGTTCATGATGAGAGCGATAAGAGAGAATCTCCCCAAAGCAAAGGCTGCCTTTGTCAAAGATCAAGCACTGGTGGTAGTAGTCTCACGTGTTTCGGTGCTTTTTTGGCGCTCTGCGCCACTGTGCAAGTTTTGCACGGGCTTGCTTCTCTAGAGAAGCGTGATAGAGTCTGTGAATTAGTTTTACTGCCGAGTTTGTGAAGTACAGAGGCGGGCTCACCTGCTGCCAAATTTTCTCAAAGAGCTTGCTTGGCTTGTGCTCAGAGCCAGATCACAAATGTACTGACTGGCATGCAATTGTTACATTTGTTACTTTGGCTGGCGTTTGGCCAGTCGAGTTTTCAATACGTCTCCTGATTGATCCACTTTCGGCACATCAATTGCGCCACACCTCGCTCGGCCATTTCAGTCTCCATTACATTCACCTGCTTTTAGCCCCACTTTGCTTGCTTCGCGGCCAAACGTCCAGGAGGCTTGCATGGGGGTTTTGTTGGAATGCACTGTTGTCAACGGCATCTCCTACTACCAGTGTCTATCACTTTACCTCCGACCGCAGTCACAGCATGTCAGAGCATTTCCCACTTTGGCAAGACAACGGGCTCGCGCTCCATTCAACATGTTACTTTAACCGGCAAAGGGTTGGAGGTGACTTTAGCTGTAGCCATGGAACTCTTCAGAATGAAGCAAGAGCCAACATCATGTGGTTTCAACGGGCCACTCGGCAGAAGCATTCTTTTGTTATTTTTTGTTACACCCTTTGGCCTTTAGCTTTTGCTAAGTCTGCTAAGTGATATGAGATATACAAATGGGTTGGCTCATGTTGGCTCCCAGATCAGAGGCCTGACGCACTTCAGTCTTGGCCTTTGTGTCTCACCAGGAGCGCCATTGTCCCATGCCATGCTTGAAAGCAGTCCCTCCAAGCATTCTTAGATCACAAGAGGGGCCAGCATCAGATCTCTCTCATACGTCGACAGAAATAACCTCAAGAGTGCAACAATGACGAATCACGATTCCTGCAGCTATTTGCAGGACCATACCTTTGCCTCACGATGGGAAAGCTCCACAGCAGCATACAGCAGCAGTTCTAGCAGCATTTTTTATGCCAGAGAACTTTCTGAGTATATTATGTTTGAACAATCTATATAACATACTTGACATATCGGGATGCATACTCGGCTGTTTGCCTTGAGTTGCAGGGTGCAACAGAACATGCTCATCAAGCTGCCTATATGTTCTTTTTCTTTGTCAAGAAGTCAAGCTAGATGGGTATGCCAGATGCCTTAGGTTCCCGTACAAGATCAGACCAGTTGTGACATTCCATACTTCCAGATGCGCTCCGTTTTCAGAAGTCCTGATGGTGCTGAGGGTCCGGAGACACCATCCACAAGAAGTTGCTCAGGAGAAGCTTTATGGCGAATCGCCTCGAGACAAGCCGATCTGAATTGGCAAAGAATTGCGCAGCACTTGCCGACTTTGAGGATCTGAAGGTGAAGAGTTGCTTGACGAAGAGGCCACTCCAAAGGTTCAGGCTCGCAGTCCAAGCGAAGAAAGTGGGGTATGTGCCCAACATTGCCCAACAACAGTTGAAAGATTGCAACTGGCTGAGGAAGAGCTTCAGAAGCATAATGCGAACTTCAAGATGCTCTATGACATGCAGCAACAGCTGATCGCCCCTTGACCAAAAAGACATTCACCAAGTCCTGACTTCTCGATGTTCTTATTGCACTCAGGCCACCCTTCAGGAGCAACTTCGCGTCCAAGAGATTGATTTGGACAGCATGAAGCAGGTGAATGCATGGCAGGCCTGGTACACTACCGTGGGGGCGCTCTTCCTCACTCGGCAAATCTTTAAGTTGGGTGCTAAATATTGGGCGTGTTTCAAGTGAGTGGGAACAGCTCGTTACTTTACAAGATGCTGCACAGTACAGAACCGATTTGCAGGTCACAAGCGAGTGCCTTCTGTAGAACATGCAACATGGTGTCATGCGCCTTCCTGCAAGGAAAAGGAGCTGGCCTCCTTGAAAAGCCAGCTTCAGAGGCCCTTTGACGGTGAGAAGAGGCAACGAGGGGCCAACATGGCGACATAGCTCACCTCTCTTTTTGTTGCTCTGATTGTTGTTGGTTTATGTCCTTGGATATATAATTGCATGTTGTGGTAGAATATCGCAAATACCCAAAAGAGATGACCCAATTTGCATGCCTGCCCTGCGTCCTGCAGTTTCTGAAGCTGAGACACTTGGCAGGCATTTGCCAGAACCAGATGAAGCCGAGGCCACTGAGAAGGCTTGGGCGTTGAGCATAGCAGAATGATTGATGTGGTTTCAGTGTAGGCTAAATCCTTGGAAAAGCTGAAGTCAGAGCTGGCCAAGAAGAGCGCTGAGTGGACTTTGTACCGTGAGCAGGCCCTATGGTTTCTCTATGTTTCCCATGTTTGTTGATAAAATTCCTCCCACACTGGATGCCACAGGCGGATGCACACGCCATGGAAGCAATGGCAACCTCTGTGCAAGCTGGTTGGAAGGCTAGTGGTGAGCACGGGAGGCATGTTGGTGAATGATATATCTTAAACTTGATAGCAAGCCGTTGATGATGTTGAGCTGCAATATGCTGCTACCAAAGGACGCTTTGCTTTTGTCTCATGCAAACAAGTGGCCCAGATCCATTCGTCGACATTCCTGAGTATATCAGTTCGTTGAACATCCATTTTTTTCGAGATCTCGTGCAGATGAACATGCTAAGGATAAAGCCCAAGGTACTAGCCCTGTTTCGTAGGTTGTTTTTGAGCTTACCATGTCAGGCAGCGTGCGCTTTGCCCCACGAAAGCACCGTGTCATTGCGGACATCCGTGGTCCCTGCTGACAAGACGGAGTTCAGTTTCGCCGTGGCCTCAGCAACCCCAACATGTCCTCAAGTCAAGGCTACCTTGCCAACCAAGCGCGCTGTGTCCTGACTTGCAAGGTGGAGTGGCTTTTTACAAGGTCATTGGTAAAGCATCGGCATGCTCGAGATCCATCACTGTGGTGCCCAACCGCTCGTGTCAAGGTGTTGGAGGTACAAAAGATCGAAAACAGGCCCGTGGGGCGTTAGCGGTGTTGGCGGCCATGTGTCAAGCACAAAAGTACAGAGTCAGAGGGTCAGGATCAGTCAGGTTCGGTTAGGCGGGGATAATTTCACACATTGTGTGGCAGTGTTCTGAAGTATGGAAACGCAAACCTTGAGGACATTTTTGAAGAGGTATGCACAGCGGCGAGAGGAACTATTGGAAGAAAGGGCTGGACAGAGTTGCGAACCCTTGCAAGACATCAAGACATTGATTGGAAAGTCTCTCCAGAATCGACGATCCATTGAAGAAGTTTGTCATTGCCCAGACTCTGGGGTGAACCTCAATGAAGTGCTCCTTTTTCACGGATCACCCAGTGCAAAGATCAACGGAATCTTGACCAGCGGATTTGATCCTCGATATGCTGGTCTTGGCACTGGTGCCATGTTTGGGCAAGGGAGCTATTTCGCCCACAATGCCTCAAAGTGCTTCCGCTATGCCGGCGATGATGATGTGGAACGCAAGAATGGAGGCTTGTGCCAGACTGTGCTTGTAGTCAGAGCCTTGCTGGGCAATCCACACTACCAAAGACTTATGTGCCCGGAGCGAAGAATGCCACCCGCCAACAGCGACTCGGTGGTAGCCCTTACAAAAGCCGAAGGCGGATGTGTGGATCATAGAGAGTACGTCTTGTATGACAAGGCTTCGAGTCTGCCGCTCTATCTCATTGAATTTGAGCACTTGCCAGATTGCCGATGCCAGATGTGCAGTCCTCAAGATTAGCAGATCAGAAGATCCTTGCACTTCCCAAGGTCTGGCTGATTGAACTGTGGAACCCCGCTCCTCGTTTCTTTTGATTTTGTTCGAAGCTTTGCAACCTTCAAAAAGTTCCAATGTGTAATATGCAAAGTCTCGCCCAAAACTGGAGGCAAGATGAGGGAAGCACATTTTGAAGCAAGTGAGATTTGTGCTTTTGGCTTTCTTTGTGGCAAGCCGCTGCATGCCCGTGTGCAGCTTTCCTCGATACAGAATGATACAGATAACGGCACGAGTTCAGCCTGAGAGCCTGGGCTGTGGGCCGTGCCAGACAAGCTGGTACGCGGAGCAAGAACACCACCTCGCCAACAGCGACTGGTTGGTGGCCCTTGCTGAAAATCCAAGGCTGGATATGCTGGAGATGTATTTTGTGTGTTTCATTGTGCGCATTGTTTTTTGGCAGTCAGTGGGCTTGCCAGAACTTCACAAAGTTTGACTCATGTTCGATGTTTGAGACATGATATGTAAAATAACGTAACCGAGCTGCCTAGGGCCTACGCCCAGTGCTTTGTCTTGGACTTTCGGGAGAGAGAGAGAGAGAGAGATGGAATGAGTGTGTGAGTGAGCGAAAGAGTGGAATGTGTGAAACCTTCGTCCCGGAGGAAAGCGCTTTGAGCAACCGCATTTGGCGCTCCTGGGGGCTTGCCCCTTTTGCAGATTTTGCACTCTGGGAGGGAAGAAGCAGGCGTGTGCTGTGCAGCTTGAGACTGCTTGCTGCGCCTGCTGAGCCCGAGAAGCCGGAACTCTTGCAGAGCGAAGGCCACCATCAGCCAACAGCGACTCAGTAGCCTGTAGTCCTGGTGAAAGCAAAAGCGAAGATGTCAATGATGGTGGGTACCCCCTGAAAGCAAGCCATGCTCGCCACAGACAGCCTCAAGGAGAGGTAGTCAATGTGCTCGCATTTGCGTTTGTTTTGTCTCTTCCCAGCGTGGCAGTTTGGGCTTGTAGCCACTGCACCCCATCATGCAAGTTTTGTGCAGGCTTGCTTTTGTTGAGAAACAGGAGCATGTTTGTGAATTAAGTTGTTGCTTCACTTAGTGAAGCATAGAGGCGGACTCAGCATCGCTGAAATTCGAGCTCGTAGCATTTTGTAGACGTAAATAGTACTGTAAATGCTCAGTTCGATGCCCGGAGCGGGCTTGATGTCATGAGATTCTTGATTTGGCTGGCATTTGGAGCGAGCTTTTAAACAAGTGTTGACACAAAGAAGGGCAAACGGCTCAATATGATTCTCAGCCAGTTCAGGTGTCGGTGTGTGCTGCACTTTGTGCATTCAAATGGCTTGCCGCCTCACTTGGCCATTTCAGGCTCCATTGCGTTCACCTGCTTTAGGCCCATTCTGCTTGCTTCTTGGCCAAAAGTCCAGGAGGCTTGCAGATTTATTTCCTTGAGTCCATGAATCACAAATTCAACGAGAGGTCCTACCTGCAGCTTTAGCATCAAGTCCAGTCACAGTCAGAGCATTCCAGACCATTACATGCGGTTCTTCGGCAGGCCCGCCTGCCCAACGTGATTTGGCTGCAGCCATGGAACTCCTCGGCATGAAGCAAGAGCTAGCTCTGTGTGGCTTCAATGGGCCACTCGGTAATTTGCCAGTTACGTGCCATTGTTGCTTTTTTGCACCGCTCACTTTCTCAGAAGCTGTTTATATAACGGGCTTCATGGATGACTTTTAGAAACTCACAACAGCTTTAGTACGGATCCAGGATAAGTATTTATATGATTTTATGTATTTATGTAGTATGTAGCCACCTACAATCAAGTTGCTTGTGAGTGATTCCCTGACTTGAAGTAGAACCGTTGTCAATGAAAGCGATTGCCCAAACATGTATGAAGATGCCATCTCAGAGGCCTGAAGCTGTCCAAGATAGCTGCCCCTTGTGTTGCACAAGGAGCTACACTGTTCTCCTTGGCAGCTCCGCCAAGTTATTTTGAACTGAGAGACTTTTAGCTCAAACAAATTTCAAGCAAAGTGAGTGATCCAGACAAGCATCCAGAACCAGCATCGACCGGATTTGTCCCTTGTCGTCGGATATCAGACCATTGCAGGACCATCCGTTCGCCTCATGATGCAGAAGCTCCATTGCGGCAATTGTTGTTTGAATATGTTTGAATTATAGACGGGGATTTTGAGGTAAATGCTGGTAGTAAGCTATCCAAGCTCTTCTCAGCAGATTCTGACCAACCTATTCTCTTCATGGCACTCGCTACAAGATCGAAAGTCGAAAGATGGTTGTACAGAAGCCTTGTGCTAGTTCCTGAGTTTGCAAAGGTTGGTCATTCTAGATGTGCTGTTATGTTTTCCGAGGAGTGTCAGGGTGGAGCTGAAGGGCCAGAGACACCCTCCACAAGAAGCTGCTCAGGAGAAGTGTTTTTGACGAATCACGCCAAACTGAACCCGGTTTCCCATTTCGAGGTGCAGAGCTCCAGCCATTTTAATTTTGAGCCTTCAAGCATCTCATCAGAATCCTGAGCTTACATACTAGACGGCTTTCGACACCACTTCTACAGTCTTGAGGATCCTCAAAAGGTGAAGACTTGTTTGAAGAAGAGGATGTTCCAAAGCTGTTTGGACAGAGCTCGGCGACTTGGACCTTGAAACTCCCGCAGCTCGCTGGTGTTGAGTCAGCATGTGTCAAGACGGTGCCAATTGCCCGGGTTGCCATATCTGTCACTAAAGCAAGAGGTTACCAACAGCTGAGCTGAGGAAGAGCTGCAGCAGGAGAATACAAACTTCAAGATCCTGGCGATCATGCAGCAGCAGCTGATCGCCCTCTTCCTAGCAAGACACAATCAACAATAATCAACACCAAGTCCGGACTTCATGATTCTGCAATCAGGCTACGCTTCAGGAGCAACTGCGTGTCCAAGAGATTGATTTGGACAACATGAAGCAGGTGAATGCATGGCAGGCCTGCAATACGCTACTGCAGGTTTGCTTGTTCCTCACACTCAGCAAGTCTCCAATGTTGGGTGCAACATATTGTGCATGTTGCTCGAGTAAATTTACAGCGCACGTCTGAAGGCCAGGGAGTTCTGCCTCCTGTGGTAAATGCAACGTCGTCCCATGCTGCGCCGAGCATTTCCTGCGAGGAAAGGGCGCTGGCCTTCCTGAAAGACCATGTTCGAACGGTGTTCGACGGTGTGAGGAGGCATCAATTTGCGGTTTTGGATGCTGAATGATGCATGTTATTGCATGCTCGCACTGTTTGAAACCTCATCCACGATCAACGTCTCAAGCTCTGCAGGCAGGAGACAAACAAAGTGGAAAGCACTGAAAAGGCTTGGGCATGAAAGGATCCAGCTAGGTCAAGCTGGTTCAGCGTAGAGCGGGTGATGCCACCACTGTTCAGGCCAAATCTGAGAAGATAAAGTCACGGCTGACAAAGATGAGCGCAGAGTCAACTCTCTACCTTGAGCAGGCCCTGTACAAGTTGTTGAAGTGCTTTTTTGCAATAAATAGGGCAGATGGTTCAATTTGGTTTCCTTGGAGCCGCGGTTTGTCGGGGTCTCCAATGCCTCGTGACCCCAAGGATTGTTATGCGAAGATTTGCATGTTAGAGTATCCGAATCCTGATACTGCTACTGCACCTGCCAGGCGGATGAACATGCCATGGAAGCATTGGCAACATCTGTGCGAGCTGGTTGGAAGGCTCTCGGCAAGCATGACATGATTGCTTTAGATGGTCCAATGCCAAGCTGGGTGACCCTATCAGTCGATGACACGCAGCATGATCAATGTTATACGAAAGCCGAAAGCTAGCCGATAGGCTAGACTGCGAACGATGTGAGTTGTAGCGGGTGGGGGGGACAGATGAAAAGGAAAGGTTTGGAAGGGTGAACCTTCGGTGGAGAGCAAAACAAAGGGTTGACAAAAGGTCGCTTTGTGAGGGCCCTTGTGATGCGAGTGATGCCACACCCACTGATAGCACCATCAACTGGGCATGACAGTATCTTTTACATCATCTGGGCATGATGGCGTTTTTTTGGGAGAGCGTTCCAAAATTGTCGGTTCCAGTATGGTACTGTGTAAGTCGTTTTAGTTACTGAACTTGGAGTTAACTTGAAGTTAACTTAAAGTTCGATAAGTCAACTTGTACTTCGATAACTCGACCTAAGTAACATAAGTTTGAAGGGCAGATCTCAGTTAGTTACACTAGAACAAGTGAGATTTGTGTAATTTATAAGTAAGTAGGTCGAACTTACGAAATAGACTTGATCTACTTACATTGAACTTAGCCTCAGTTAATTTCTAGTTATCCTAGTTCTCTAACACAGGTTTTTTCGAACTTTTAATGCATCAATGATTGGCGGCGCTCGCAGTTTTGGCGGCTCGAGCAGACACAGCGAAGAAGGGGATATAGGGCGAAGATGGAGGGGGAGAGCACAGCAGTTCGAGCGCGCCGAGCACGGCAGGACTTTA